AAAAAACATTATTTACATATCAAACGAAAATTATTAAGTTGATAATTATTAATTTGCTACTGTTGTGTCATTTATTATGTTTCATATATATTATTATTAATTTGAATAGTTTAGAACCTTCCTATACTTATATTAATATGAACTTGCTGAATATTTTAATCTCTATTCCTATTTACCCTGTTGCTTTCTCTTTGTTACGAGAGTACTACTCTCGTAGAATATATTCTAGTCGATACTTGGACAAGAATATATATATACTGTATATATATATATAATCCTAATGCCCTGTAAGACTACTCCAGTTTGCCTATATGTAAAATCTGAATATTATAAAAAACATGATGTATCTCTACGTTAATACATGTTTTCTGTTCTCCTGTTACCATAGCCAAAAGACCATTTCTATCAGGGATTGAAATGGTGTTAAATTTATAAGTGTAGAGTAGATAATCTTGTAAGTGTTAAGTGTAAAATACAAAAATATTCTGATTAAACTCTTACTCGAGACGTATTCGGATTAAATCAAGTAGATGGATTCTTGACTGAATGATGTAGAGAAAGAGATCATTAATCAAACTGAATGTACTCAGTTTCTCTATTTTTCATGTTTCTCCATAACTTCTGTGCTGATCTGAATGTGAAAAAACAAATATAATTATTATTTGACAACATATCTAAAGTTGAATTTTATCAAAATATATTGAGAGCGCAATATCGTCTGTGTTTATATTCATTTATTGATTGCAAATATTACATTATATCAAATTGAGAATCAAAAAATGTTATATTTATAAATAATTGTTCGTTATTATTATTTTCATTTGTAGCTTATCTTTTCATTGAATTAAAAATGGAACTATTTTGGTAAATCTCGATGTAGCGCAAAAATATAAAAAAGTTATGCCATTCTTATAAAAATTACGAAGTTTTCAAGCTCAAATATCTGCGTTCATCTTAATATTGTGTATAATTGTTGCTGTTTGAGGTACTTTAGTTTAGCATCACACTGAATTGAGTGAGAATTGTAAAGACGAAAGAATGACCGAGCAAAATCAAACTTAGTTTGTATTCACATATATAGAAACTAACCTCTTGACTGGCTTCCATACGACCTTAAAAAAAGATCCGGCTTTATTTAATGTTTTTCTCTTATTATCAGCACACCTAACATTATATCCAATGGTGTTCTCATTTTCCATGCACCCTTCGTGCTTGCTGAAGCCTTCATTCATTGTGATGTTCCTTGGACGACCCATAATGTCATTATTAACTTCATAGTCGTCCTGATCTTCAACCAATCGCTCACTAAAAGTAAAAAGAAAAAATTTACAATGCAGAAAATATTTATAAAACTTATAGAGAAATTATAATGCATTACTTGGAAAACATTTAATTTTATATTGTCTAAAATATTCCATAAAATAAACAAATTATCGCTTAGATGCCTGTTAAGTTACGGCAACACAACATTTGGGCCATTTACCAAGGGGGAAATGCATTCTGATTTACGATTAAAGTTTCGATTCCTTCGACGTTATTAAAGTTATTACTGTTTTGTGGACTTGTAGGGCCTCCTCTAATTCAAATTCAAAGTTATGTGCAGAACTCGTTAGTGTATGTAATTCTTATCTTTGAGATTTTTCGGTGGCGATCTCAGAGGTGATCAGTGGCGCTCTATCGAACTTTGAATATATATAGACGATGCATATGTCGCTTAACGATGTACTCAATAACATCACGACAGAGGTCCCTAGTTATTAATGAAGCCGAAAAATACCTAGCCGCCTGTTCCTTTTCTACGTGTAGATAAATATAGATATATAAATAATTATCATCATTGTGTTAAATATATGGAGTGACCAGATATTTGTTACCTAAACAAGGAGAGTTTTCAAGAATGAAAGAAAAATTTGTCTAATAATAACTAAACTTAATTTTAAAAATCTAGTAACGTGTTGCTTAAATTTCCCGGTAACATTTGGTGACTCCATCCGCTATAATATTTTACTTAAAAAACTTTTTATATTTTAACTATTATAAAATAATGTAAAAGCTAAATTTTGAGAGTAGGGATGAGTTTTATAAAAGATTTCTAAATGCTAACAAAGAGTAAAATCGTCCTTAGATCTGACCCAACTTGAGATAAGACACATGATCCGTTTTATATTTTCACCCCTCGACCTATCACCACCAAAATTTAATAGAATCGATCCTTGTAATACACAGACCTCCCTAAAAAATTTCTAAAATTTCCAGCAAAAAGCACAGGAGTTATTAAGCTTCAAAAAAGATGAAAAAAATCGTTCCCCCAAACGAACACAAACATGCATTTATACATACAGAAAAAGCCCCGATTTTTGTTGCATTTCTCGACGTTTTAAGATCCCCAGAGTCTTGTAAAATTTATGATATGTAAAAATCTTAGGAACCATTTTTTGAACGATCGCCATACCTTTCCTCTATTATATACAACAGAGCAGAGAAAGTAAAAATAATGTAGTGACTATAAATTTGTCATATTGAATTACAAGTCATATTCAGCGATCCTATTTATATTTTTGATTTCTAAAAAGAAGAGAAAATTGAGACGCGTGTTTATCCTGCACATATAATTTATACGAATGGTAGAATATACTATATAAATTTACGTATAGTAAAGGAATGGTCCATATGACCATTCCTTAATATATTGTACTTTAATATAAATGCACTATATTTTCAGAAAACGTCCCCGTCCTTTAGCGGCTTATTCCATACTATATTATAATACTATATAACTGTATTATACTTTTGTCCATTTTGGTCCTTCTTTGTGTACCAGGATTTGTTATAATGAACGACGAAAAATTTCTAATTAAAATATATTTACTATTCATACTGTTTTATACAGTATATAGAAATTTTTATATTCCACTACATTCGAGCATTTCGGGTCAACGTTTTATATCAGTAAATATAATATTTTTATGTTTATAATTTAATATACCTATATGTATCTTTTAACATTTTCGGAATAGACCTTTGAAATGCCATTTTTGAAATTTTCCCAGCAAACTTTTCTTAAATATTTTCCTGTTTATTACAACACAGTTTCATTTACTTAGACATCACTAATTCCTTAAACGAATTACCAACTCTTCAACCCACGGAGTAATTATCCAGCTCACACCATCTCAGTCTTCAGCGATATGGGCAAATTAAAATTTATTCATATAAAGGTAACGTCTGCTGAGAAGAAACGTCGGCCCGAAATGCACAATTGTCGTATAATAGCATATAAGATTACGTTACAGTGAATATATTTTAATTGGAAATTATGTGTTTCTGTTTCCTCATTATAGCAAGTCCACAGTGGACCTCCACTTTGGATTTGTTATAATGACTCAAAAATGTCTAAAGTGGATAACAGTATAACATAAGTAATTAAGGACAAGAAGCACGTATCAACATGATATAACTGTATTACATATAAACAGTGATAAAACTTACCTGTTAAAGCGATCGCACGAAATTTTGTAAAATGGCCGAATCTTATCCATTGTTTGTTTATATGCAGGACTGATGTAATTTTTCAAGATGGACTTTCCAAATTCAATTTCTCCGGGTTGGTCCTGCTCCAATAGGCCTTTATTCTTGCCACGATATTTAACATGATCCAAATTCTTNTACTTTAGAACATTTTAGAACTCTATTTCTCACGAACGGCTGACCTGACAGATAAAATTTAAAAACTCCAACAACGAGTTGCTTAACTTTTCCGGAAAAATTTAAAACTGAGTATGGCGCCATCTGTTATCATATTTTATTTATAAAAACTTTTTATATTTTAACTATTATAAAATAATGTAAAAGCTAAATTTTGAGAGTAGGGATGAGTTTTATAAAAGATTTCTAAATGCTAACAAAGAGTAAAATCGTCCTTAGATCTGACCCAACTTGAGATAAGACACATGATCCGTTTTATATTTTCACCCCTCGACCTATCACCACCAAAATTTAATAGAATCGATCCTTGTAATACACAGACCTCCCTAAAAAATTTCTAAAATTTCCAGCAAAAAGCACAGGAGTTATTAAGCTTCAAAAAAGATGAAAAAAATCGTTCCCCCAAACGAACACAAACATGCATTTATACATACAGAAAAAGCCCCGATTTTTGTTGCATTTCTCGACGTTTTAAGATCCCCAGAGTCTTGTAAAATTTATGATATGTAAAAATCTTAGGAACCATTTTTTGAACGATCGCCATACCTTTCCTCTATTATATACAACAGAGCAGAGAAAGTAAAAATAATGTAGTGACTATAAATTTGTCATATTGAATTACAAGTCATATTCAGCGATCCTATTTATATTTTTGATTTCTAAAAAGAAGAGAAAATTGAGACGCGTGTTTATCCTGCACATATAATTTATACGAATGGTAGAATATACTATATAAATTTACGTATAGTAAAGGAATGGTCCATATGACCATTCCTTAATATATTGTACTTTAATATAAATGCACTATATTTTCAGAAAACGTCCCCGTCCTTTAGCGGCTTATTCCATACTATATTATAATACTATATAACTGTATTATACTTTTGTCCATTTTGGTCCTTCTTTGTGTACCAGGATTTGTTATAATGAACGACGAAAAATTTCTAATTAAAATATATTTACTATTCATACTGTTTTATACAGTATATAGAAATTTTTTTAAGTTAAATTTATCGCTAAAATTAACGTTGCTTATTACATTATAATGCAGTATATTAGTGATTAAGTTTATCTTTTAAGATTGTTTTCGGAGTAAACTGCAATGCACTGAATAAATGAACTGTAAAGCACGCAATCGTACATCTTTAATAATGTTATTAAAAAAAGATAACTGATAATATCGAATTTTGCACTCAGTAATGAAAAGAAGCAAGCTCATTCTATAAGAATTGTAACGCTTATATTTTATATTATTTTATATAATATAATCGATAGCTCTTTATGTCTTGTGCAAAAAGGAATTGAAAAGTTACGATTGATTTGCAGCGAAAATATTTTATAATCTAAATCTTCTCTACAATTGTATATAAATTAAAAAGCTGAAATTTGTCACGAAAATCCAAAGTAGAAACAGCAGCAACAGGAATCGATGAATCGTCACGAATAATTTGAATAATAAGCGACGTGAGTGAAAGGTTTAATTAAGAAATACAGGGGTTACGCGAAGGGTTATATAACACGAATTTTGCTTTAGTTGAAAACATAGATATATGGTTAATATTACTATTTAATATCTTAAGCCAATATTTTTATAGCAGGAGCGTAAAGCGAATGTGTTGAAGTTCACTGAATCATTTTATTATTGCAGTTAATTTCTCGAGTACTGACTGTACTCGAGTTTACAAAGATTGAACCTGTGGCTTACTTTGATAAAAGTAAATATTTTGCGTATTAAAGTATTTCTAATAAAATAATTTTTATTAATTTGTATATTATAAATTAACTTTATAAATTTCTTATTTGTGTGAATATATTTTTATTATTATTTTAAATGTAATTATGTACATATTCATTAAATTAGTGCCAATACAGTATTTTAATAAGACTTATTGTCTAAATTTTTTCTGCGAAAAAATTCTTAATTCTAATTTCTTGTTTATGTGCGATCGTTCAAAGTTCTAAATACATCAACAGTCAAAAATGAAACAATTGAAAATAGCACCAAAGAAAAAAATCTGAATTACATATGTAATACCTTTCAATTCAAATTGTACTTTTCAAAGACATTTTCTAGGTTAACACGCGATGCATTAATCGAGCAATGAATAGANATTTAACAATTTACAAATTATATCTGTTAACTACTAATTTAATACTTTATGACAATAGATCAATAAATTCATCTATTATGTGTAGAGAATCGAAAAGTCTACAGATGACAAATAAGTCTATTAATTAATTAAATTAGGGTCATATTGTTAAAAACGTTTTATGTTTACTTTTCTAAATAACAGTACATGTAAAAAGCCCTAAGATGTATTCACTTAGCACAAGACTTTAATCTCTAAGCTGTTGAACTCATATACAAATCTAACCTTTTCATTTCATCGCCAAAATGATTATAGAATACAGCAAAACACGAAAATGTCTGCTTAAAAATATCGAAAAATATTATTCAAAAATATCGAAAAGTCAAAATCTTTAAATCAATTTAAAGTAATTATTATCTGCACCGAGAAATTTCATTTTACAGCCATTAATTTTTCGAACGAATTTCTTATTTGCATAAATAACAATAATATGTGAAAAATCTCTTACTCCAAAGTTTTCGGCAAGGGTTGATAACTGTTTGAATCAAAAAACATTTTTTACTCAATTGAAAAACGCACTCTTTGCAATAATAGAGCTAGACAATGAAATATCAATTGTTGAGTTTCTTTGTTACGAGTTAATTGAAGTAGAAAGAAATTTTAATGATTAATTTTTGGTTTTATTTTCTATTTTTAATTTTTTAATTAATCCCTGTGTAATAATGAATAAAGGGTGATGGCCATGGCAGTAAACGTCTTGGCCCAGATTCGATGCCAACTCATCCAAAGAGGATGAGTTGGCATCGAATCTGGGCGAACCAAGAATTTTTCATAAAAGATCTATCTTAGATACGCTAAGCCCAGTCCCTTACCATTGTAGGTTAGAACATATCTACCATTGTGGGCATGGTCTAACCTACAATGAACAGAGTTGATAGATTTTAGAGTTGCCAACCTGTGTCTGAAAGGAAAAACCACTGAACATTTGTAGTTTTTCGTCAGTTTGTACCTCGCCGACAGACTGACCAACATAGAATTTTTCGAGTTTTCTTCACGTTTGTAACATGTAAATACGGGTCAGTTTCCCATTGAAACTTCTCTCGAGAGGCACTCTTCTTCACGTGTCGTGTTGCCATATACAAATAATGTAATCCCTTTTAATATCGACATGGCAAAAAAGTAATATTATTAATGACAATAACTATATCTGAACCGCCATCTGTGCAATAGAATTACTGTATGCAGGGTTGCTGTTGATGGCAGTTTATTAATGCTTTGAAAATCAGGACATTAATTGAAGTGTAATATGTAGCCTATATCTTTATGTGAAATCTCAAACTATGCACCTGCAACAACATTGTGAAAGAAACGAGTTAGGCGGAAGCAAAGCACTTGACTAAAATTCGTAGATGTTATATTTGTTCTATCGATAGCTCAGCTGGTAGAGCGGTGGACTGTATCTATCCATAGGTCGGTGGTTCAAATTCGCTTCGACGAAAGTGATTGTTTTTTCTACGTCCGGCGGCAAAATATATAAAAACGAACTGTTCAACTTCGCGATTCGACGTATTTCGAGAACATGCGGTTGGACAACCCAGCCCGGCAAGAGTTCATACATTATTTTATTTCATTAATCCAACCTATAAGAGTTTATTGTATGTTTTTATGATAGTTCTGTATAGTTGACAAGAGTTTTAAAAAATTCATTAAAATATTTGATATATTTATTATGCTCTCCCATCTTGTATTACTTACAGATTTCAATGTTAAACTAGTGATATTACGATTTCGTATGTTTCATCTATAAGGAGATGCAGAAAAAAGTACACAATTCTTGTATAATGTTAAAAAATTAACTGTTACTTTGGTAGCATCATTTACAACTAAATTTAATGAATGAGACGCACGAGGTATAGAAAAAGCTCTAGAATTTATTTTCCCTAAATTTACGATTTATGTATCCGTTGTCATAAAAATTTGTCTTTCCACTTCTTTCCCAAAACTACAAATATTCAAGTACAAAGTAATTGGTTTCGACTTATTTCTACTTAAGGTTTCGGCATTCCGTGAGAGTNTAAATTTACGATTTATGTATCCGTTGTCATAAAAATTTGTCTTTCCACTTCTTTCCCAAAACTACAAATATTCAAGTACAAAGTAATTGGTTTCGACTTATTTCTACTTAAGGTTTCGGCATTCCGTGAGAGTAAGTAGTTAAATAATTAAGAGATTAGGGAATTAGGGACATAAATAAAACCCTGTTGAAAGAGCCGGAATTTTACATAAAAGCTTAACTGAAGCAATCTCTAGCCAAGTACAGTGGGGACTGATTTCTTCGTAATATTAGATGTAATTAAGACAGTAATTTTTCCAGTTCAACGAGAGTGACCGAAAAGTTGTAAATTTTGGAAATTTCCGTGGACACCTGGTCCTAAAACTAATTAGTTAGAAAACAAACGACGGACAATCTATTAAGTTTAACATATTTAGATTTTTACAGCTATGGTGAGAAACGTTTAGAATTTACAACAACTCTGTCGCGTCCTTTGAGATATATTAGTGATACTACAAAAGAGGCATTTGACATTGACCGGTATCGGCACTTTCGGGATTTGGCAGTCCGCGTGTATGCACGCACTGTAACCGTCTCTGATTCCATCCATTAACCACTGATAGGGAGCTATTTCATTAAGTGGATTGTTTTAATATTTAAAAAGTAAAGAATATTTTAAGTTATTTTTATGTACGTTTCTTTACAAAGCGATATTTAATTATAATTTTCTTTAAAAGTATATTCATACAATTGAAGAATATTTTGTACCACACATTTTATTTCTCCAAGTTTTTATAATTTTATTTTTAACTTTAGTCCTTATATCGGGGCTAGCGATTAAGAATGTAATTCTGATATTAAAAATACATTTAGAGAAGTCTATGATTTTTACTGGCTTATGGAACGAACGAATGCGAATGGACCCTAGACCATCACTGACGCGTAATTAACTGATTGCCCCTGGAAGTCGGTTTCTTACAGAAAAACAGCCTCCCTATCATCAAATGTCAAGGCACGCCACTGCTTCGTTGACAGAAACTTCGGAAATTCCGATCTGAATTCACTGGACATCGTTTCCTGTTCGACAACTGGACTTAGAATGCAACATCCGATCAGCGAATGGAAACCACCTTCGTCCCCGGATTATTCTTCATTGAAGACTACGCGCTGAAGTATACAAGAAGTTAAACCCTTCGTGACTATAAACTTTTTGTAAGTTAAATTGTCTAATAAATGGGTTTTGTTGTTTGTAAACGAGGCTTCGATCTCTGACTCAACCGCTCCCACATGTCGTTGACTGTTACCGCTCAGCAGTCCAGACAGCGATGGAGACGATAACGATATCACATATAATCGTTATTTTTCGTTTTGAAATCTTCCCCCCGGCCCCCTCACATTAGTTATGATGGTGGGGGATCTGGGACAGTATGCTCCTAGCAGAGTCATTACAGTTGTCTTTTTATCCAAAAGGTCTCAGATTTAACTACAGTACTTGCCGTTAGCTAAGGTTCTTAAATATGTACAGTATTATAGTTGGTTCTGTAAATTACATTTTGCAGTTTTCTCTTCCTCTTTTAGTTTGTTGCAGTTAGATTCTTATCTTGGTTTCATTTTTTCATTGTTTTTTATTGAGTGTTTTAAGACTAAATTAATTAAGTTGTTGAATCTATAATAGTCATAAATAACTCGAAACCAATAGAAGGGTAGTGAAAAAATTAATTAGTTAAATTACTCAAAAAACAGTTGATATCTATAGTAAAACATCTGAGATGTAAAAACAAATATTGCTTTAAGTAAAAATTATGGCATCCAGATTAAAGTCACATTTTTTCTTTGAAGCTTTCTCTTTGGCGCTTCGAAGAAATACCATAAGCGTTTACTTTCCAGTCGCGATCCCACGACTAACTATAAGTACTGTATTCAGTGGTTTTATCCACTCGGTCAATAGTGGGTCTTTAATTAATAAAAACTATTTTCTGAAAGTGTAGAGCATGTTGTGTAAGATGCGCATAACATTTTGTTATGAAATGGCATATGTCATGTTTGGGCCTTATGGTGATGTGCCTGGTAGGAGGTGCACAGTTTTAGTTTTTACCGCCAAAAATACGGGGTGAACACTGAACAGGCGAACAGTAATTGCACATGGGGCGTCGTATAATTCTGGCTAATTTATAAGTATTCTATTATATTTCAGCAAGTTTTACTCAAGCGTAGTAAACACTGAGTTTTTCAGTGAGTCACTGACAAATTTTATTGAATTTGTCAGTGAATAAATAATTTATCTTTTATTCATTTATCTTACCAAAGGAAGAGTGGTTATAATCACTGAACACTCATGATAGGTCGCGGGTCGTGTGGAGTATTCCGGATTTTCTTCACGTGTCGAAAGCCCTCCGAGAGCACCTCCCCTTGGCAGTTTGCGCATGTGTTGCACTCGCCGTATCCTATCAAACCAAACCTTTCATTCATTTTTCAACTTTATAAAAATATTACTAAAACTTTAAAATATTTTCTAAAATAAACTGTCATTTATATAAATTGCTATATTTTTTAATAAGAATAAACAATAGGCTTAATTCGTTAATTTGAGTTTATTTTTCATAATAATTAATTGTACAAAGTAATTTTCATAACAATTTTGATATATAAAAAAATTAATGATTTTTTTCGGATGGAGCAATACGTATATCTTCGAATTTACTGATTAAATCTATATCTCGTTCCAATTGTCCCAAACGTCTTTCCAACTCTTCCTTGGTCCATATTTTTCTCAATGTGTCGGGAACCAGAGGCAAAGACAAATAAATACTATTTAGTTTATTCCAGTTGTTTCTTAACCCCTATAAAATATAATTTATATTAAATTTAATAATGTTTTAAAACAATTTCATTTTATCAATTAAAAAATGCATACTCTTAAAACAGATTCCCTTTCATTTTCTGTTATTTTCGGAAGATCGCCTTTTTGATATTCTTTATTAATATATTTGTTAATCATCATCTCCGATGTTAATAAATCGTGGTTTCTTTTAATCAAATACTTAGGAATTAATCCGTATTCCTACCAAAAAAAAACTAACTCATTTAATAATATTGAAGCGTTAGAATTAAAAAATATACGAGTATTTATAATAGATAATTATTAATTAGTCTGTTCTTTACAGGGCCAGAATCGGATCTTTGAAAATTTTCATGAATAGTTTAATCCGGATATGCTGGAAAATTTTATTAAATATATAGAAATTTCAGACTAATCACTGTCTGAGTAGAGTGGCAATTTACTAAAAATTAAATTTAATTAATTTAATAATTTAAATTTATTCGTTTTTATATTTTAAACTCTTTCTTCCCATAAGAGAGGGTTTTCTCATGTCAGTCTTACATTTGGAAAATTATACATATCATTCTATAAGGAAAAAATAAGAGGACCTATATATATATTTTTTTCTGTCAGGTCAGCCGTTCGCGAGAGAGTTCTAAAATGTTCTAATGTAATTCGTATAATAAGCACTGATAGCGTAATAGTAGCGATGTGGCTGTAAACAATTATGTGCTGCTATTTTAATATATGCATGGCAGAAGTCAGGATATATAACAGAAGAGTTTTTTTATGAGTTTATGAATTTTTCTAATGTTATCGACATGAATTTTACATTTCCCGAAACAAAGTGTTAATTAGATTGTGATAGAATTGCCTTCATTTCATGTGCTTATTGCAAAGAATTAATTAGTTTTAAACATTTGTATTTTTCCTTTTGTTTTTACTTTTTATGATTTAATATTTAATTAAACCATAAAAAGTAAACATGAAACAGAATCAATCCCTTGACAATGCTACCGCTGCGCCATTAGTGCTACATTTTTATATGAGTTACTTTAGAACATTTTAGAACTCTATTTCTCACGAACGGCTGACCTGACAGATAAAATTTAAAAACTCCAACAACGAGTTGCTTAACTTTTCCGGTAAAATTTAAAACTGAGTATGGCGCCATCTGTTATCATATTTTATTTATAAAAACTTTTTATATTTTTAGTTATTATAAAATGGAAAAAAAAAAAAGCTTAATTTTGAGGGTAAAGCTGAGTTTTATAAAAAAAAAAAAAAAAAAAA